GGGATCTACCTCAGCTACCACGAATTGGTGAATACCGTTTCACGTATGCCAGAACAGCCCACTTGCACGCTATGGGAAAGAGGCAGAGTGAAGGAAGAGGTGTTAAACACAAGGAAGAGAGGAGCAGAAAAGGAAAACGGATATAGGCAGAGGGAGAAAAAAAAATAAAAAGTGACCCAAACATCTTTCTTCTTTCACTGCATTCTGTGAAGGAAGATGTTTGGGTCACTTTTTTTTTATTTTTTCTCCCTCTGCCTATCGGTTTTCCTTTTCTGCTCCTCTCTTCCTTGTGTTTAACACCTCTTCCTTCACTCTGCCTCTTCCCCATAGCGTGCAAGTGGGCTGTTCTGGCATACGGGGATGGGGTCAGCCCGCGATCAATTCATCAGCGTGGCGAGCCTCGTACGTTAGAGGCATAGTGGAGGAGGCGTTAAGAAGACTGAGAAACTGAATGATTTCAATATGTCTTTGTTTTTTATTTTTATCCTTTGATTCAGTGTAATTTTTTTTTGTAGAACAGTGAAAGAAATAATAATACTGTGAAACAAAGAATAAGAGGACACTTTTTTGTGTCATTCGGGTTTGTCTGTCTCTTTGCCTGTCTGTCCTTTCATTGATCTTTTCTTTCCTCATCTTATTTCTTCTTCTACTTCATGTGCTTACACTCTTAGTCATAGTTCTGTGACAATATATATATTATGTATATATCTATATGTGAGGAACAAGCCCTCAAGTGGCCCTATCAGACATCACATTGTTCTGGGCTCCAGCAAGCCGAGTGCCTGCCCTAAGTGAAGGCGGGCCTGAATATTCGTCAAAGGCAAAATTCGACATTTCCATATCTGGGTATTCAGGCTCTCGCAGCACGCTAGTTGGTTGGGAAGACGTGTGAGCCTCACATTGCAGCGTCATACAGTTGGCCCTGGCCTTGACAGTTGCGCCCGGGCACACATACACAAAACAGGGCCGATACATTGGGAAGCAGCCCTTCGGCCTTTGCAAAAGCAGTGGTGACAACGCACCTACCTGGGAGCCCTGCACAGATGCAGCAAACAGCCCAAGTCCGGAGACTCAGGCCGTGCCTAACTGCGAAGGGCCCAGGCCCTCAACTGTAGTCTCGGGCCTGAGCCCAGGGTCTGGGACCCAACCGGAAGCTACTGCCACTTCCACAAAAGGGAGGAAGCAGCCCAGGCCAGGCATGCTGGCCAGCGCTGGCAATGCGGAAGTGCTGCTGCGCTCTCGCTTGATGCTGCGCTGCTGCCAAGGGCGCTGACGGGGCGCGAGAGGTGAAGTGGGGCGCTGCAGGGCAGCGGAGCGCAGGCAGCCTGTGGCATATTGTGCAGCCACACGGGCCCTGCACGGCCCGTCCCGGACCTCCAGCCTGTTTCCCTACAGGGAAACTTCCAGGCTCTTGCCTGGAAGCTTCCTTTTGACAGGGCCTACA